TAGGCGAGTTTTTCACCATGTCCCGGGTACTCCCGGGACGTCGAGTTACCTTTTCGGGTCGATGCTGCGTTAGTCCGTGGCGCGGGATAATCTGGACGTAATAATGATATACTTCTCATTTTAGTCATGATTTTAGCTTCTTTCCCTTTTCTTTTTACATTCAATCGTGACGTAGATATATTGAGTTACGATAAATATTCATCTCACTCGGCTGTGAATATTCTTGAGGGCCTGAAGAGATCGGCTTATGGAACTTAACTATGTTAAAATGTTCCGGAACAACTTTAAGAGATTTTACGGCCATTATGGTCGTACAGATTTGTATGTTAAGTAGGGAAATGAGAGGGTGTTTTTGCCCGGAGCACTCATTTTCTCGAGTCTTTTTCTTTTAAACGAGTAGTTACCAGATCGAGCGAGATGATGCGCTTGATGTGAACGATTTAAAAGGGAATAAATTTGAGAAAAAGGAGGACACTCGAGACACTGGGCAGAGCCCTCGGGGTCCGCTCTTTTGGAAGACGATTTTAAGGGATAAGTCATCGTCGGGATCCCAAAAAGCTTAAACTTTTAAATAAACGAGGGACATAATCTAGGGATCCCACGTTAAAGTTCGCGTCGGGCAGGTGGGAATTCCTGATAATCCCGTAATAAGAGACGAAGCCCTGCTTGGAATTCCAGCCGAAATTTCGTTCAAACACCCGTCACCCCTGGACAAGAAGAATTTCGTCCATTTGTTCAGGGACTTTTTCATGGGAGTAAAATACCCTTTGGAATAAAAATCGCCGTGTTTCTTTAAAAAAATCAGTGATCCGATGTACTCCGAGTCGTTTAACAAGAGGATAACTATATAAAAGTCGGTACATTCTTAAAATGTGTACACAATACACACATCAATTAATCGGTCAATCCACATCGCTTTCTGAAAAAGGACATAGTTTCATTTTCGGTTCGCCCATTAAATATCGTCACGTTGTTTCGCAATCGAAATGAAAAAAATCGGCCCTGATAACGCTAATGGCGCACGATCGGTGAATACCGAGCCTCGTATAATCGCCAATAGTCTATGCCGGTTAAAAAGCTCTATTAACATAACGTCGGTCACGATAAAACGCAAGATTAAGCGCCGGATGCAAAGTCCCGGTAATTGGCTCTCGGAATTTCGGCGGCGTTAAATATGCGGCTTCGAGAAGTCGGTGAACCAGTGTCGGGAATTCGAGTTTCACCTAAGGTACCCAAAGGAGACCCAAAGGCCCGATATTTCCGCAATTCGCTCGGCATAGTCGGTGAACGGCGCGCTCGGTCGGAGTAAACCAGGGCTCGGACCGAGCCCCGCACGATTTACTTTTGCGTTTTAGCCGAGAGCGTTAATATTAATGTTACGATCTTCTAAGTAAGGTCGCTCGCGGTATAATAACGTCGTGGCGTGGGTACGCGGCACGGAGAGCTCTCGAAGCGAGCCCAGCCCTGGCTCGTGTCATCGTGTACCGGGCAAGATAGTTAGGTGCCCTATCGGGCATAAATTATGCGCGCCATTAGATGCTAACTATGGTCTCTACCGCGAGGTATGCATCACCGGGCAACAGCTGATACCGGTGGATAAGGGGAGGCCGTAGGTGTATATCTTGGCGGTTGTCGAAGACAAACCCGGATTTCCTCGTGGCCGGCCGGCGTCGCGGCGTCCCCGGATCCTCGGGGGCGAGGGTACCCCGGCATCGAGACCCTCCGGGCGTACCCGGAGCGGCCGAAGTCGCGCAAGATGGGAAGTTAGCCTCGATCCGCCCGCGGACCGTCTTGCCCCAAGAAGGCGATCTTTCTTGGGCGACCCGCGCGATTCGTCCATATTTATGCGAGTCCCGAGGCGGTCGCGGCCCCTGACGGGGACTTCCTTTAATCGCGCCCCCGTGCAAAAACGGGGGCAGTCGTCGACGGCCCCGGGATCCTGCGGAAGGAATCTTTCGGGAGGCAGTCGGCGCCGTGGATTCGCGCCGCTCCGTCCTCGACTCGGTTCCCACGTGGACTATCGGCGCGCCGATTGGGCCCCCCGACCACGCGCGTCCCCTATCGTCCTATCGCGGAGACGGGCACCTATCGCGTGTCTCCGTATCGATTCGCCACCCGCTCCCCTTATCGCGTCCGTCTTGCGGTCGGACCGCTTCCTCTCGCGACTCACCGTGTCGGTGATAGCGCGACACGCGTGTATATCCTCATTAAGGTCGCGTTCTCACAGGCGTCATTTGAGCGAGCTCGGCGCCCCCTTCCCGTCGCCGACCGAGTTGTTTAATTATTCGCCAACCTCTCGGCCGCGGCTGGAGGATCCCGCCTCTCTTTCCGCGCTTCGCTCGGCTCGGCGAGTCGCGGGGAAAGGGGGACGAGGACTGTCCGACTCGATGCGGGGCGTTTAATCAGGCGGTCGCGCGCATCCGGCGGACCGCGGCGACAGGATCGATTCCTCGTCGCCGATCGCGACCGGCCGTTAATTCCGCGGACGGAATTAATTCGACGCCGATGACTGGCACCGCTCCTATTAGCCGGCCACGCCGTCCGGTAGCGGGCGAGCGCGACATCGGTGAGCGGCACCGAGGCCGGCACCAAGGCCGGCGTAAGCAGACGACGATAAGGGACGGGACCTGCTCCGGATCGGCCGACGCTCTATCACCGCTTAATTGCGAGACTCTCCTATCGGTCCTGATTGCGCCGAGTCGTTGACTCCTCGGCCCTTCCTTCTTGGTACGCGGCTTCCTCGCCCCCCCGAGTGAGCTCGTTGCCGTTACCGCGAAGATAGGAGGTTGCTCGCTAGAGCCCGATATCGGCAGTCGTTAGTCCGAACTGGAATCGCTCGCGTTCCGGGCTAGTTCCCTGGAGACACTTTTCGCATCTAGCTTTTTGCTCAACCGGGTTTAACGTCTCTTGGGTGGGATCGGTCCCATATCGAAACCTCGTTCCTGGGTGGAGCACTCGATCGTTGCTGTTTCACCTTTCTGAAATTATTCTTCAACCTCCCGAATAACTCCCGACGGGGAAGAAAGACGAGTTTGGATCAGAAGTAACGCGCGTTCCTGCTCGATTCTTCGACCTTTCATTTGAGCCGCCCATAGCGATCATAGCATTTTCTCGCCGCTTACCGTATTACGTCCTATTATTTCCAATGGACGGAAAGAGCTCCTTTGCGGGTCTCGGATTCGCAAAGAGGCACTTTATACATTAAAATGGGCCCATTGGGTAGTCCGCGCTTTCGTGGTCCCTTCCGGTCCTTCGGTCCTTCCGTGTTCCCGAGGTCACCGACCCCCTCGCGCTTGTTCGAGATGCCCCGATCTCGAACGCTCTTATCGAGATCCTCGAAAAAGATTCGCAAGAACGTCCATCTTGAATCACCCGGTGAACCGAGAAATCCGAGAATCACGTTCCAGCCGCGATTTGCTTAACGATTCTCCTCGCGATCCTCGCCGTCACCGCGCCCGTCCATTCGCTGATTTCATGGCTAAACCTCCAGCGACCGCGGGTTAAGGTAGACTTTCCCGTGCCCTGCAGAACCACCGATGTAATCGTTCGTCTATAAATTTCCTAGATTCTGGATTCTCGATTCTTCGATCGAACCGCTATCGACGCTCGGTCACGATAAGCGGCGGACCTGAGAGTTTGTAATCTCCTTCCGAGGCGTCTCCTTCTAAGGCGTGTCCATGCCTTAATGGTTCCGTCAGGTTCTACCGGACCATCGCCGTGGTCGACGTGGAACCAGAATCCCGATCGGTCGACTCGCGACTCTATCCTTGTTCTCTTCGTCTTGTTGCTCCCCCTCGTCCCGCTGCAAAGGAGATCGTAGTCGCAGGTGCGTATCGCGTCTCCGTCGGATCCTTCCTAGGGAAGCTTATTAGCCTTTTTGGGACTCGTCGAGGTTGCCGACCCTCTGCGGAAATAATTAAGGATAGCATCGATGAAGCGGCCGCGGGATATATCGCGAGACGGCGATTTACGATAATTGCGTGGAAAATGCGTTTTAGATAGTTAAAGGCAGGAAAGATGGAGGTTGATGGATTTGCTTCGACCTAACGAGAATTTTGGAGTTGCGTTTGTTGCTCAATGAAGTTGCGATTAAATTGCGTCCAGTGGAAGATCTTAGATCATTGGACAGGTTTTTGATAATCAGCTTCATCACGTTTCATGGGATGCATGTTCAGATTCTTGCACCGGGATTAAATAGACGAGTTTCGTTTCCTACCATGTTTCGGTTAAGCTGGTTTTTAAATAATCGCGGATGTACTTGTATCCCATCCGTGCGATGTTATACTTCATGATTTCTCTCGTCATGTGGACGTATCGGAGCAGGAGACTCGGTAATCGCTCAGAATACCTTTTTCCCTTTTCTAACGTAACCATCATAAGTCCTTTCAGCCTGACCTGAGTAATTTTCCGTGCAATTAAATTATGTACCGTGAGCAATTTCTATATTAGTGTTAAAATACCGCGTACCGAGCGCGCAAGCCGGATTATTATTTACGTCACTTACCACTTCGCACACACTTACCGCAGAAGAATGTGTTCGAACCACATAAGTGGCCGCATTAAACGAGTTTCCGTCTTGCCACATGCTGAAATTACCGCCGCGGGACTTGAAGAGACCGAACTTACATTAATACCGAAACACTCCCATTAACAACTTCGACCGTTTACACCGTTCGGCTGGCAAATACTTTTGTGTTGCTGCGATATAATCTCGGCCCGAGGTTTACAACCCTAACGCTATACGTGATTTAGGACCCCCTGATAGGTGCCCGAAGCATCTGCATTAAATCCTTCCAGACGTTCACGCCATTTCGCCCTGACCGTTCGCAATTGCCTGCAAAATCTCGCATCAGGAGTAGAAGCCTTATCACCGTTGTGGACCTGAATTCGTTCTCCCAGCCTGTTCCTCGGCTGAAATCATCCTAGAAAAACCCCCCAAACGTTATCACCGATATTTCTTTTCAACTCCATCAAATCATTTCTCGCCTTTGCTGTTTCAGGGTTCCGAGGTCAAAACTGCGAGGAGAATATCGACGACTGTCCCGGCAACTTGTGCCAAAATGGTGCGACTTGCATGGACCGCGTCAACGAGTACTCGTGCCTGTGTCCACCCGCGTTCACTGGCACGCAGTGCGAGCTCGACGTCGATGAGTGCTTGGTGAGGCCCTCGCCCTGCCACAACGGCGCGACCTGCACCAACTCCCACGGCAGCTACTCCTGCATTTGCGTAAACGGCTGGACCGGACCCGATTGCAGCGTGAACATCGACGACTGCGCCGGCGCGGCGTGCTTCAACGGGGCCACTTGCATCGACCGGGTCGGCAGCTTCTACTGCCAGTGCACTTACGGCAAGACCGGTAAGTCGCAACCCAACGATCCCGACAATCCTATCGGCCGTTACACCGAACAAGCCCGGGACGGCGCCCGTCTTGAAAAGGGAAAATAATCAGCTGTTCCTGCCGGCCGCGTCACGGGGTATCAGAGTTAAATGCGAATACCCTTTGCCACGATAAAGAGAGCGGTAGATTGACTACGCAGAGCCAGTCCACTTTATCCGAGAAACAATGTGGTTCTATCGCTGCGTGCAGTTTATGTGGACAAGTTACCGGCTCTTCGTGAAGAACGTAACGTAGCTGAAAGCATGGAATGGTGATAGGAAGTAACAGTCTGATAAACGACTTCGCGATATTGCATAGGATTTTCTCCCCAGCTGGAATGGAAGGAGGCAATTCTTTTCTTCTCTTTTTTCTTTTTCATGTAATGTTTATTATACTTGGTATAGTGTGATTAAGTTTTGCTTCATGGTGCCGTGAGTACTAGATATTAGGGAGTAATTGCAGACATTGATGTAGCGTTGTGGCTTGGCAATGTCTTGGCGCCAAAGAGGGGTATGCATTTTAATTTAGGGGAAAATATACCTCCTGGTCATTGAACCAATTTTTTTTCAATATTTTTGATTTGATTTTATTCCGATAGCTGCATTTTACGATCCTTGCGTTCTTTTCACGGAATGTGATTATTGCTACATAGTTTTAATGACTTTTTTTTTTAAAGCGCCTGTCCATACAAAATTCAGGACAGTCGTAGGAATTCCGTAACGATCGTAAAAGTAGAAATAACGTGACTAATGCACGAGTCAACAATTTTCTTGCACGCCAATTTGAACGGCTCACGCACGCACACACGGTCCGGCGCATCGATAAGAATGGCGTAAAGGACGGGCCTCCGCAAATGGCGATTCGATTCTCGTCCGTATCGAGCCATTGATGGAAATCTCGCGGCAAAAGCTGCAAGAGATTTCCAAGGACTACCCGGCAGGTGCAGCTGCACGTGCGATGCGACGCACGGTAGGAATCCTCGAGATATCTGCCGCTTGTCTCGAGTAGGCCTTTACGGGAATCATTCCGTTCTGTTCGTTCAAACGAGGTTAGGTTGGCTTCGGAAGATTGATCGTTCTCATGACTAACGTTCATGTCGGAGAATTAGTCTAGGAATATTTCGAAGTCCCGACTGAACTGCCTCGACAGAAAATAATTGCACTCCGCGGATGTACGGAGTCAAGCTTTTAAGTTGAAGATTCTCTTTTTGCCCGAACGCGTATCGTACTTCGCGGTTCATATACGAAGGTATCCCGGTCATCAAAGTTTTTGCTGCAATCACGAAAGCTTTGCAAAGTTACTGCGTTATGTCCAGCATTCCTCATCATCCGAGAAGGAGGCCTAAACTGCGTTTCTTCCTCGAGTAGCTGGCTTTAATCACCATTCCACGTTCCGAGAGCAAAAAAGGTGTCGGCGGTGAGCGTTCGCCGAGCCTACGTCACGTCATTCGTATCTGGCAATTTTAATTGAAAGCGCGTACCGTCAAGTGCTCGAGATGATAGCAGGAGTGCGCGGCATGCGACCAACTTACTCCTTCTTTATCGGCATGCTCTGAAATGACCGCGCGAGTCTGAAATAGCTAGGCGCAAACAAACGGAATGCTAGCCGCGGTCGACGGAGTTGCGATACTTATATGGCGACGCTCGTTTGCAATTGGGGCTACTTGGGATTGAATTTACGGACTCCCGTGTTAAATGTTGCGGCTCGATTATGGCGATTAACGAGAGTCGGCGTTGTTCCCGCTAAAGGAAGGCGCGACGCGGGTGAACGCAGCGTTAGATTTTTTTTCTTTCTCGCAATCTGGTCGGGAGAATAAAAGAAGGGGCAAAAATAAAAGAAGGAATCTGGACACCCGAGGGCGATCCCAGGAGTCACTTGGAAGTCAGCCATTGCCGTAACTCTGCGCGCGCACGTAGTCGGGATTTGTCACTTTTGTTCGACTGTACCGCGTCTCGTGTGGCAATGAGACCTTTAATGATGTCCATCTTTGGCCGAGACCGCCGTGTTTGGTCGCCGGCGCGATACTTTTGTCCCAGAAACGAACCAAACGGCGCCGGCAGGGACCCTTCAAAATGGCGTCGGTGCGCGCAAGCACCGCGCGCACTCGACCAACCTCCGGCAGGGTGAATTGCAAGGAGCCTCGAATGGACTCGCGAGCCTAACGAACGCTCGCGTGCAGGGGCAAAGACTAATGGTCGGTTTCACCGGCTACGGTTCAAAGTTGAGCCTTGATTATCTTTGAAATTAACCGATCAGCGGTGCACGCCGCTGATGGGTTAACTTGCAAATTAATCAAGGGTCAACGGAGGGCTCGGATGTTTGCCCCGTGGTGCTAGGCGCGAGATGCCTGCGTACCGAGAAGGAAACGGAGAGGGAGTAATTTCCACGGCAATCAGAAACGGACGTACGGGTCTCGTCGGGAATTCCCTAGCTTCGTAAGCTTCGATTATCCCAGTACTTGATATTTTTAACACATTTTCTCCGTTTCAAATACCGAGTACCGGCGGAAATAATGAAATTCTGTAACTGGTTGCCGCAAACTTGTATCGTGTATCGTCATGGTAAAATTACGTGAATTCGCGTCAGCGGCAACCGGGAATAGAACTTGAAAAGACGTGAATTCACGTCAAAGGTCGCGAATGTGTTAGGATATCATTAGTCCGATCCGCCGCAAGTAATTTTTATCTATTTCCGGCTAATCCGAGCTAATTCGTTTCTCGTCAGGTTTGCTGTGCCACTTGGACGACGCGTGCACGTCAAACCCCTGTCATCAGGGTGCCATTTGCGACACCAGCCCCATCAACGGCTCGTTCACGTGCTCCTGTGCCAGCGGATACAAAGGACTGGACTGCTCCGAGGACATTGACGAGTGCGAGCAAGGTGAGTACTCGAGTAACGATCGGCAGCGGATCGACGGACCCGGCCGCGTTCGTTCCGGCTAGTCGATGTCTCGTTAACCGTCGATATATAGGAGTCTCGTTACGTCACGTGGAAACCGTCGGTGGCAGCTAGAGGGAGGGCGAACGGTTCCCTGGCGGCAGGCCGCTCGAGATGGCTGCATTTCTGCACCACTGTGTGGCATCGGTGGACGTGCCGAGAGGGTCATCGACTTCTTGGAGAGACGCGCGACGAGGGGAGATCGACGCCACTGACTCGGTGAAATTTAACGGAGCCGCAAAAAGGCGCGCGGTTTATCTCGCGGGGCCGAAATCGTGCGACCGTCAGATCGGCCGATAACGCCGACTCGGGCCCGGTTGAGACATCTCCTGGTGAACGGTACAGATGTGCTCCGGTGACGGAACGCTTCGATCGGGAAGTCTTTATGAACGTCCTCGGCGGTTGAAACATTAATTTGCGACGGAACATTGAACCGGTGATCAATCGCGGTCTACTTCGGCATGCCTCGGGCACGTTGAGGTAAATCTCTCCGGCGCGTGGCGGTCCGATCGGATTGACGAATGCGAACTCCTGTTCTCGACGACTTGACATAAATATAGAAGGCGGTTTAATATTTTGATAACGCAATTATTACCTTTTCCTTTTGATGTCTGTTAAGGTGAAGTGAAACCCCCTTCAAATCAGTCGATTCGAGTACAACACTTCTTTTTAAGGGTATTAGACCAAACTGTCCGAAACTTTGACACGTCTCTCCTGATCATCTAAAAATTGTTCTGACACATTCAAAATTTGGATTTTTGGAAAAAATTTTGTTAACTCAGCCCAGACCAGAACCAAAATGGCGTCGAGCTCTCATATTTCGATCAATATACAATCATCGAAGGCTCTGATATGAGAAACGAAAGGGTTAGGACAATTTTACGACAATTTAGAACACTCTGGTAATCGATAAACTCGCATTTGAACGGGATAAAGGCAAAAAAAGGGTTGTATGCGCTTTTATGCTAAAACGATGGGAGTACGAGGTCTCGGAGTGAAAATTTAATTGACCTGGACATCACAGATGGCGCAGAGGGTCTCTCCGCAGTCAATTAGGGTCCCAGAAAGCATGAATCCAGAGGATTTCTGGAGTTTTACTTCGATTTCTTGATATTTACTGTACGAAAACGACAGGTGGAGTATGCCATTTGGTACAATATCCAATATAATTCAACACAGCTGTCGATATAAAAACGAACGTCGGTAACGTAGGCATTTAGAAAAATCTCTTTTCGTCGCCATCGACGTCGACGTCAATCAAGTTCCTCGACGTGTTTCACTTCACCTTAAATGATACACACTCCGGAACGTATGCCTAAACTTAATTGAATTTGCGAAAATTCTGGTTAGAAACTGTCCCCAATTTCTGAAAGTCGTAGGATTCGAGGTTGATTTCGCTGTATAGTTAGACGCAATGTTTTCATCGGTCTCTCTTAGATTGACCTCGGAGGTCGGTCGCAAAATTGCAAATCGCCCTGAGACTGGACCCAGGATGCAATTTAAGCGCGGGTCGAATATGCAGCTCTAGAAACTCGAAATGATCGAAGACAGGCGTTAGTCGTTATTAAAGGGTGCGCACACGTCGAGTCTCCACCTGGCGCTCGTGCCTATATAGCGCGAATGCATTTGCGCGAACGGTAATGGCCAGCCAATCAAGGACGCGAGCGACGCCCTATCGGCATCTCGAACATGCGCGATCGATCGTCCGACTGGCGCGAGTGCATTGTTAGGCCTGATTCTTTCCAGCAATGGGTCCTTACAGGCGGTCGTTGAGCGACGTTGCATCCAATGCATCCCGTACAATCTGTAGGTACGTCTTTTGCATCCGACGTCAGAATCGTGACATCGGAGAGGTTCGTGCAGCCGTTCGTAGATAGGGTATTCACGCGATGAGAATGCCCCGGTAGTCAGATAACGTGATTCGACTCTTATCGAGATTTTTTATTTCTAACAAAAAGACCTGAGAAATATCTGGAGATATTTCAGTTTATATGGTTCGAATTCATGCATAAATTTATCCCGGCGGGCGTAAGGCTCCGCAGCTACTTCACCGCTTAGAGTGTTTTGTAGCGAAACATTTGAAATTTCGAGTGTTAAAAAATTATCTGGCTTTATGACCCCCAGCTGGGTTAAGCACTGCGGCGGAATTGGATTCTACAGGTTGTAATTGTGAAAGTTTGACTGACGAGTGTTCTCTTTGAGGCTCCTGGATTATCACAGAGTTTTTGAGAATGGGAAGGGAACGGATTATCGACCTGATAAGCACACGTATATTTAGGGCGGGTAATAAATTGGATAATTTTAATGTCAAGCCGTGCACTAAATTGCGTTTATCTTGTCCGTTCCGATAGGATTTATCCTTTCTGTGGGAGGCCTCAAAGCGACCCCTCTGGCGAGGATGGAGAGAGAAGACTCCATGATAATTTCGCCCTTCGAGGCATTGGCTCTTCTTGGACTTATGGAGGATCTTCGCATTTTAAATTCCTGACCCGTGCAGAGTGTACATGACGCCCCTTTGGCGTCATCTCGGAGATCGGTGAACACCCTCAAGACCCGAACCATGCCTCTCGTATTGCCTGTATTCCTCCAGGGTACCTTCGATCTTGGACCTAATGATCGGGCTGGGCGACATGTTGGGTCCTCCTCTTTGGCTTCCGTTTGGTCGACGGTCATCTTTACATCTTTCACGGTCCCTTTTCGCCTTTGGGTGCGCGTTCGTGATTTGCGATTGGATGATTGGTAGGTTCCGACTCGACGCGTCTCCGTCTCGCAACGTGCCGTCCGGGACACTTCGGAAGAATTATCGCATTGCAATTTAATATACTCCTTATCCTTTAATCGGCCCGAAACCGTAAAGCTATTTCACCCAGATATCGCGACGCGTCGCCTTCGATTTTCACGATTTTCTCTGCGACCATTGCAATCGCCCGCTAAGCCAGATTACCTCGCAAGCATTTAATGCGCCGTGAATTTATGGGCTCGGTGCATCGTAATCGTCCGACTCGGAGCGGTGCATCGCGTAAGAGCGATATTAATTCCACCGATAACGCCCATTAAGAGAGCGCCATTTGCCGCGCACAAAGGCCGTCTTATGCATTCTCAAAAAGAAAAAGGTAAATCCACCTCGCGTTTGAATAATTTTCATCGCACCGAACGACTCGTCCGCGATGATCGGCACGACTCGAACAAGCGATTAATTCATTGGACCAGCCGAGTGGTTCCGTTCGAACGGTCTACGCCGTTTAAATCGGCGTATAATTTTCCTTGTCAGCGTACCGGGTGCATCGGTTCTCCGGCACCATCCATTAGCGGGATAACGAAAACTCCGATGAAGACCTCTGAAGAGCAATCGCGCGCGATGCGTCCCTGATAAGGGGCTGAAGGCTCGGAGGAATCTTGATTGCGTTAGCTAACCGGGGCCTCGTAACTCGAGAGTCATCGGACCCAGCATAATTAGCGGACAAAGTGGGTTCTTAATTAGCGGGGGAGGGGGGATAGCGGTAGTCCGAAAATTAATTGATAGAGAGGCCAGAACGGGCCCGCCGCGTGCCGCTGCGAGGCCCACACCTCGTAACGATACGAGGTGCTTCCTGAAAGTCAGCGCGAGGCATTATGGGCCCCGCAGATTATATACACCGGGCCCGATTCAATTTCGAGATAATCCAAGGCGTCCCCGTCGGGCGCGGGAGGAGGTGTCGTCGACCTTTGACTCCCGTGGCGCGCGAGACCCGCCCTGATAAAGTCTTGACGAAGAAATCGAATGCTCGGACTGGTCGACGGGGTGGAGAGCTCTCCTCCGCACATGGACCGCGAGTCGCGCCGTTCGAGCATTACGTTGGCAAATGCCACGTGGTTACCGTCGACAAGGTCGAGGTTCTTCCCACGAAACGAGTCGATCGATGGGTCGGAATCGACTGTCCTCGATGTACGGCCGAATCTTTGATTTACTCTTGAAGGGTGGAAGACTCTTCGATCTCGTAACTCGTCTTAGCTAATATATCGGCATTTTTATCTGGCGAATGTTTAGGGGATGGCGGGGATCGCGATAATTCATGTGGGAAGAACGATGGCGGGTCGTTCGTTTTTCGGACGCCGCTCGACGTCGACTTTGAAATTGCTCTCTGGAAGGGCCGCATAAAAACGAGGTTAGGCCGCCCGGCTGTCCGGCGCGAGGCAAAAGGAACAGCCCAGAAAATGGCTCTAAGTAAATCCATTCATTCGCGGGCTCGGTTGGTAAATGAGGCAGAGAACGCGCGCCGTAAAGGTGAGCGGTTAATACGTTTCGTTCCAGACAAAGACACTTCATTAATAATCAGAAGCACTTCCTTTGTGCGCCTCCTTTTCCTCGCACTCGGCCGGTCGCTCTTCCTTCTCTCCTCCGCGCTCGGATTGCCCACACGATGGATCGCCTTTGGTAACTGTAACCGTAAGCCTAGGCTTAATCAAAGCGGCGTAACATTAATTGGATCTCGAGTCCGCGACCCCACCGGGGGCTCGTTACTCTCAAAATTCATCTCCCCTTACTTGAATTTAATCATGCTCGCAGATACCACCCCTCGGTGCCGCTCTCCTAGCGATCTATCAATTTCCCGCCTTGGTCCTTTTTGCAATTCCATTATTTCCTATTCATCTTCCTCTTCGCGGCTGGAAGTATCCTCGCGAGGAATACCACGATCGAAGTCCCCTTTTGGCAGCGACTGGAATATCAATCAATTTTAGTCATAATAACAGATTAGAGTTTTAAAGGGTTAAATTACGCTAGCGGTAACGTTTCAAGGTTTGGATCTCCCCCAGTAAAGCTCAGTTCTAAATTCCATGCCAGGGAAAAACCACCCTTATCGCCTGACCTCGAACGCTCCGCTGTTTTAAAATCCCTTTTGGTCCCAGGTGCTTCCCCTCTCGATTTTTGGCGAAAGAGACGACCCCGTTCCACTGGCCCCGTG